CGGTTTTAAATTGGTGCGCTTAAAATTCGATATAAAAATAGTACTCGTAAAAAGAAAAGTTAAAAGTAAATATGTAAATAAATAAAATAAAAAAAAAATAAAAACGCTCTTATGTGATGAATGTCATGAATTACTCAATTATGTGCGCGCAAGTTTGTTAAATACCGTTTTTGCTGTTCAGTGCCAATAAATAAAATAAATTGTTGATACTAGCAAATAAAAGTAAAGGATACAGAAGAGATTAAAACGCGTAAATATTGACGGTTGGTAAAGTGAATGACAGATGAGTGTGTTAACATAGGTTTTTATTCCTGTTTTTTTTTTTTATTTCGAAACGATAAAAAATCGCGTGAGAGTGATTTATTTGTATCGATAAATATGTACATATGTACATATGCAAGAAAAAGTGACTTGCACTTTAATAAGCAAAGTGAGCGTTGAAAAATATGAATACGTTTCAAATTTTTGCAATTTATTTGTAAAAGTATGCGCTAATGCGAATTGCAAAAAGATTTTCGAACCAATTAAAATAATGGAAGTTCAATATTTTAATAAATGGTTATAAACTGTGTCAGCATTTGCTAATTACGAAGTTATAGATTGAAAAAAAAAAGAAATGCGCAGGTAGTTATTTGAAATAACGAATCATGAGGCTTTCTTTGCCTCCTCTCTCCAAAAATAGTTCAGTTAAAAATAAATTGGTTTAATTCTTGAAAATAAGGACAAAATGTTTACTTTACAATGATGACTGAGGTTTTTTGAAATGCAATATGGCAGGGTTTTTGAGCTCGGCTTGGCTTATACAAAAACAAAACTGACCTATTTTTGGAAAGTGTACCTAATTTCAAGTGAATGTACCTGCTGTATTTTTTCACTGAAAAAGGACCGAAACTGGTACAAGTTACATAGCACATACGGAGCTTCTACTAAAATTTGCACATTTATTTCATACCCGATAAACTCTCAGTAAAAGTCTGATTTTCAAACAAACTTTTAATTTATGAAACATACTTTATTTTGTATGAATTGTTTTGCAAGTTGATATGTTTTCGAAAGTATTTATTCATTAAATTTAATTAATACTCTTATTATCAAAGGTTTATTAGTTCAGTATTTACCTTATCGCTTTAAGTAAATAAAATTTTTCAAACAGGTGGCAACCCGCCAAAAATGTATTTTCGGCAGTAAATTAGCTCTAACTTAACTTATGGTCGTTAAATCAGTTAATTAATGTTTCCTCTCAGAGAAAATTATGAAATGAAAAAATTAAGTATGGCCCCAGTTGCGACCCTTTTTTTAGTGGCATAAGTCATTTTTTCGTTCATTTTGAAATCAAATGTAAAAATAAGTACTTTATCATTTTGCGCGCACTGCCTCAACTGTCGCAATGACTGAGTGAGCAGAGCACTCGCGTGCCATTCGAGAGTCCGAGTTCGAGTCCGAGGGCAGGAAAATTTTTGTTTTTCCTTTTTTTTATTTATTTTATATTCTTTTAAAATCTGTTTTTTTTTTAATTTTTTCCTTTTTTGATAAAATTTTATTTTGATTTGTATAATTTATTGTTATAAAAAGGAAACTATGTTTTTTTATTTCAATTAATTTTTACAAACTATTTGCTAAAAGAAAAACAAAACTACTAACAGGCCAATTTTGGCATCTATCTTTCAACTCACCTCAGTCTTTCGAAAAACAAAAGTCTTTATATTCCGGCAACTATCTTGAAAGCTCTTTTCTGTATTTCGAATGACTAATTGAAAGATCTGCTAGCGAGGAGGATATCGTCATTCTATTCATCGTTTAGCAATATGTTTTCTAAAAACTGAACCAAAAAAAGTTTTTTTTGTTGTTTAAACAAGAAAAACTAAAAATTTAAGAACATGAAAGTAAATAAAAGCATGTAAAAAAGAAAAAAGCTTAATTAAAATTTTTAAAAAATAAAACTTAAAAATTAAAAATAAAAAAAAATCCCTTGCCGGGGATTTAACTCAGATCTCTCGAATGGCACGAAAGTGCACTGCTAACTGAGCCATTGCCCAAGTTACAGCAACGTTATCGAAATTGATATTTTTTAGAAACAAACATAAAATTTCAAACATACAGACAGGTAGACGGACATCAGAAATTCGCCGCGATGTATAGCTTAAATTACCCACAAAGGAATGAACTGCGAAGCACTACATATATGTATAACTATGTACGACTGCATAAATATACACGCGTATACATAAGTATGTATGCTCCTGAATTTACCACAGTAATGACAACATTTCATTTTCAGAGCAAACATTCACTAACTGCCTGCTTCGGTAGACAGTTACGCTAGTTACATAAATAGTTGAACTTTCGATGGCTACCATTATGTACATACATACATATGTACGTAATATTTGTGGCATGCCGTCACGTACAACACATTTGTTGCATTTTTGATTTTCAGTTGCAAAATTTCCAGACTGCGCTTGCATACAGCCTCCTATTAATATACCTCTTTGAATTTTCATTTTAGTTACACTTGGACTTTAATAACATTTTAGCAATGCAAATTGAATAACAGTCGTATGGTGGGTTGCCAATTGTCATTATTATCTATGAAAATGAAATTGTGTAAGCAATCGCTACGAGTTGTGTGTGAGTGTTGGCATCTGTTAAAAATGACTTAAAAAACATTTAGGTGGGCTTTATGCCACTACAGGTAAGTGTAGTTCGCCAAATGAATGTTCCTACGGTAATTATTAACTGAATTGCAGTGACCTAGAAATACTCGTCGTGTGGCATAGCAAATTTATTCGCAGTTCAAGCAGCTTTCGTGTAATTAAGGTTTTTTTGCTTCATCTTCTTTTTTCTTCTGTTGTGTACAATCTTTTGCTATATCGAATCACTCTCCTTTAGTAAAGCCTCTTGAGGTCTAGTGAATTAAATTCACCATTTTGGTGGTGTTCTAATAGCAGTTCAGCGTAGATTTTGCTCGAAATCAAAACAAGGACTTGATTCTCCAACCACTCTGTGTAAATGTGCGGAGTTGCTTGGAGCAGCTCTTTGTTTATGCCGCTTATATTCCACCGAATAGTAGCTACGACATAAACAAAGCGTATGTAGATAATGTTTTGCATCTAAGTTTCAGGATTGGCGATCATCACCTGTGTGTGCTCACGGACCACAATTTGGGAAATATTTCTTGGAATATCCTTAAAAAATCATCATACTGTGGGACATACGTAACAGACAGCTTGTTAAGTATTGGTCTAGTGCAAATTAATGGAATTGCAAATAAACTTGAGACTATTTTAGACCAAATGTTTATTAACTATATATGTATAACACCGTAGGAACGCTAAAATGAGACCAAAAAAAAACGCCAAAACACGTAATGGGATCTGTACCCCATTTTCTAGCTCAGGTAATTTTCCTTAGATATTTTCATTTTAAGTTTGTATTGCGAATGTTGCTCATACACCCTGTACGACTGTGTACGTGTAGGTCCTGAACTGTAGGATCATGTGCGATATGGCTACGGTGACCATTCGTACCGCTTTTGGCGGGACAGTACCGATTTTAAGAAAATTGTCCCGCTGAATATTTTTCAAAAGTCTGGACGTATAAGTGTCCCGATTTGTCATATTTGTGCCTATTAAATCCCGCTTTGTAGTGTTTTCTTTGTCATTTTAATTTTACTATGATTTTGGTTATGTTTGATTCTGTTAAACTGGTACTCTCGCTATACTGCAGTCCATCATTCTTGTCTAGTTTTTTTGTTAAGTTTTTTATAATTATTTTTTAATTCTTTTAATGAAACTATTCTAACTTGAATTTAAGGCAACTATAAACAATAATACTAATTCCCTCAAAAAAATCAAAATGACTAAAATTCGACAGAATGTCATGAAAACTTTGAACTTTTTAATTTGATTTCTGAGAAACATTCTGAGTATGCAGTTTTGTAGCGCATTCAATTCAAAGTGCAAATTTTAAGTAGGCGAGAAATACCGTTGATTTTTGGTAAGTTTTTTTTTTGTGGAAGGTGTTGCTCATTTTCTCCATACAAAAAAAAACAAAAATGTTAAACATACTTTGTATACGCGAACCGTCAAAAATCAGCGGTAAATCCAAACTACTTCAAACTTCCACTTTACAAAGTTAGTAAAATTTAATGGGTTACAAAACTTCATACTCAAAACAATTCCAGAAAATCTGATAAAATTTTTTAAAAATTTTGATCAACGTTTGTTAAAATTCGTCGAGTTTTCATAAATATTTTACAAAATTTGAAATTTTGTTTTAGATGTTTTTTCTGAAATAGTAAGTTATATTTTCATAAAAAATAATAAACATTTTTTACACAAAGAAAAGTAGCCAAAACTTGCTAAAAATGTCTTTTCCCTATTTACATTCTCGCCACCTTATATATAGCGCGTTAAGCGCAATAACTTTAAAGTGCTTGAGCTTCCACTACACGAAAAGCAAAGCTGCTGATGTTCAAAGCAGGGATCACACGATTTGTACATTTGTACATTTTTACAGTCACAGATTGGGATTGTTTGCAAATTTTTTATTGAGCTGAACTCATTCTCGATACAAAATTCCTAGACAAACCTTAGACTAAAAAAATTCTAACCCAACCATTTTAGAAATTTACTCTAAATGAATAGCCCTTTACTGCTAAAACTGTTTTTAGATACATATTATAGAAAGTGCAAAAATGGCAGCTAATGCTAAATGGAGAAGCAAATTTAATTTCAACACTCACTTGCTGTTTGATTTTTTAATCAAATGGAAAATATGACGAATTAAAATTGTTAGTTCGCATATGCGGATGTGTGTATGAGGAATGTATGTATGTGTGACGCATGAAAATGAAATTTAACTAAAAATAAATATAATAATTGTTGTGAGTGCACTGGTGCGAATTTGCGAATTGTGATTAATAATAAATCTAAAAAGTGCTTAACACTTCCATCAATTTTGTGCGCTATTTATTACCATAATGTAGTGGATCGGTGCAATTTAAATTTTATATATATATATTTTTTTTTTGTGATTTTTTTTTTTTAGTATGTACTCGTATTTAAAATATTACTTTTGCAACTACGTGCTAACAAAGTTACAGTTGTACTTGATTTATTTTTAATTTTTGCATTGAAAGTAAGTGCGCTTGTGCATGGAAAATCGTAATTCGTTTTTATAGTGCGATTTTTAATAAAAAAAAAAAAAATGCAGAGAACTTTTACTTTCTCTTATAAACGCAAACGGTGCTGCGAAAGCAAAAGTAAAACCAAAAACAAAAAAATAAAAAATAAATAAACAAAAGAAACTTTGTACGCCGCTTCAAAACCGATACATACCCTGGCCGTTGAGGAGTCGCCACTCACCCTGTGACCGCCGAGATTATTGACCACGCACGTGAAGGTCGCATCGCGTCCCTGCGCCACGGTGACATTCTCCAGCGGAAAGACGAAATCCGGCTCGAATGCGCCCACTGTCGAGATTTGGTTGGAAATGGAAATATCTACATTTCAATTGTTTTGTGAAGTTCAGTGAATTTTGATTTGTAGCGTAAATTTGCATTGTAATTTTTTTTTTTTGTTTTTTTATACGATGTCATTTTGTGTTTTTTTTTTTGGTGGTTGGATGAGGGAAAAAGGTTTTTGGTTGTTGGATAGTGCAATTTTTTTAGTGAGATTTTGTTACATACAGTTGCAGATTTTATTATTTTTTTTTTTATTTTATTTGAAACACACAATTTTACAATTTGTTGTTTGACATACGATTTGTGAATGGAAATATGGGGCAAATCAATTAAGCAGCATTGAAAAAATCGCGTAAAAAAAGATAAAAAAGAACAAATTGAACAAAACGCATAATTATAAAAATTCATAGTTGCAAATGTTTTGTTGTCTATTTTTTTTCAATATTATACATAATTGAGCATACAAATACATAAGTACATAAGATTGACTACACATAATACACATATAATTGAAATTTTTTGTTGCAAATCAAATGTAGCAACATAAGAAAGGCGCAACAAATGTTGGCAATCATCTGCTGTGCAACATAAACGCAGTCACACGCGGTTATCACACACACACTCACATTCACTGCAGGAAAGATTTAGTACTCGCTAGTTTTGCAAAGAAAATAATATTTAATCGATGCCATCAAACAACTTAATAAGAAGCCAATAATGAATGAGAAAAATATATTTTTTATTTATTTAGTTGAAAAGCAGTGCGAAAGAATTCACTTCAGCCTTTCAGGAAATGTGTTTTAAATTTGTGTAATTTACATAGGAGCACAAAAAAAACAACAAAGAAATGTTCTATTGACCACACCATGCATTTTATATGTCTTGCGGTCGCTGAGCACGTCAGGATTTCTTTCTAACCACAAAAAAACTGGCGGACGAAAATCTATAGATTTTGACGGATTTGCTATAATTTTTGTAGTTTGCGATTTTTGGAGTCGCTGATTACGAAGTATTTCCAGCTTCTCCCAATCCAAACTGATGGATGCAATATTGCGGTAACTTTTTTTTAATTACGAATTTGCATAAAACTTTGTATGCAGGGGTTTTTGAGGACAGTGATACTGAATTTCGAAATCAGAATTTTAAAATTCAAAATATCGGCTCCAATATGACGGTCGAATTTGTAAATGATTTTTGGGGATATTAAGATCGCTGATTACGAATACGAATCCATATTTTCAAAATTCAAAATGGCGGCTCTAATATGGTGGTCGTAAAAAACCTCGATAATTTTTGGTTACCTTACTTCTTTCAATATTAAATTTTTGTTTGAATTCGACCGCAATTTTGGACTTTGTAAATCTGAATTCATATTCGTAATCTGCCGCCTCAAAACGCCTAACTACCAAGATTAAAACAAAGTTTTGTCTGTTACAGTTTTTTTGAGGTTAACTCTATGTACTCTTTCCTCTTTTGTGGACTATAGTTTTAGACTAACTCCTCTTCTGTATAAATGACCAAGGCTTTGAAACGCAAGTCTACACAGACCGGCTGGTGATCTGCGTAACTTTAGTTAGTTATTTAATGAACAGAGAGAGTCCCTAGGTCAGTGTGCCCTAGATATATTCGACTTGCCTAATGTATTCTAAAAGGGTCTTGGTTAGCGAATTATTTTATATATATATAAAAAAGTGTTAAACTATTGGATACATTTTTATATGTCTAAAGCCGGACAGTAACCGAAAATATGTTCGTCTTCAAGGCATATCCTGTCCCCAGATTCTGTGATCACACTTTTTCGGTGTAAGTTAGTGGAATCGCCGTTGTTTGTGACCAGTCACAAAAGTCAGGCATCCAGAATGTTGCCTGATGCCATTTATATTTGTTGAGATAATATTGTTTTTGATTAAAAGGGCAGCCGAAGAGCCTGGTCTGGCCCCCAACGGCTCCCGCACTCAGTAAATATGGCTATAGAAGAGGCCCAACTGAGACCACAGAACGGCAGTTAGCGGTACTTCTCGTGCCAACTCATCGGCGGCCTCAATTCCTTCGATTCCACATTGGCCTGAAACCAAACACAGTGCTACCGTGTTTTTGACTGAAAAAAATGGGAGCCTGCCAAAGCAGTCCTGTTGGAAATGGTCCGGCTGGCTGCTTGGCTATCTAAAAAAAGATAACTAGAAAGCGCCTTTAAAACCTTTTCAAGTTGTAATTTTGCGCAATTAAAGATTGAGAATGTTTGAGGCACGAAAGTTGCCCGGTCCAAGAGTACCTCCACACGCTCTATTCTCCTTGCTTGAACCATCTGTGTACCAGGGTACGAATCTGCAATAAAGTGCGGGGAGCCCCATTTGCCCAATCTTCGTTATCGAGGATTTTCACTTGGAACTTTCTGACAAAACAGATCTCTTTAGTAGTGGAGACAGAAATTCCGAATATTTACAACTCCGCTATCCAAGTATATCTTGTTTGTGTAGAAGCCGTCGTTAGATAGTCGAAGTGGCACCACCCTCCGGTCCAAACTAGAAAGGGCTCTAGAACCGAAGTTGAGCATATGCTCTATTGAGCCAGTGACGGATGAACATGCCACTCTGTGCAGTTTGGTAAGGCGTAGTACGGGAGTTTTTTTTGCAGTCTCTTCTGCCACCACGCTGCAGATGAATAGGAACATACGACCACACTATAGAGCCACTCTATCAGAGTTGAGCTCAATGCCCACGTTCTTCCAAAACGTCTTCTCCACATGGCCCCTCAAGAAGGGAAGTTCTAGTTGATTTCCCTTTGAGATAAGCATAAAGCGTGTGATGTAACGGTGCGAAAGTGTTAAGTTTCTCCCTGATATGAAGGTCCAATAGTCTCTTGTTAAGTTTTGAGAGTGAAGGAAGGTAGATTAGTAACACGAACACCTTTTTCAAGCGTACGCTGTGTGTTTCCAGCAATAATAATCTTTAAATATAAAATACAGGGGATCAGTGATCTCCTCGATACTTATTTCTAGTATTAGTGCTGGGAAAATTCCATCGCTGGTTTGAAAGACTCTTCCGTCCATTGTACCGTGCCCTTGTCAAATATGGATCCAGATCTGCTATGCCTTCTCACTCTCATGCTTCATCAAAGAAGCTGGGGAATGCACTTTATGCAGCTGATTTAGTAAAGGTGTCATCATGCCTCCTTTGGAGATCTGGCACAAAAAAGGTTTAAAAATACTCACGCAACCCTGCCCTAGTGAACTGAAACACATAAAGAACTGCTGGTACAAAACTACGGCAAGTGCACCAATAGTACGCATTGGCATGCCAGGGCAGACCCCTGCTGATGCATTCGGTACTCTGGTGTCAATATCTCATTCCAACGCCCAATAAAGAGGGGGACCACCATTGCAGCACTGATGATTCTAAATACCTCCAGCTTAAAAAACGGAAATATGACGAATAATTAAATTTGATGATCGAGTATTCTGGGTATGTGTGCCGAATTAAAAAAAAACCGATACCATGAACCAGCATCCCACCATTTTTCTAGGGGAAATTCGTGCATTTGAAATTTGTGCCAGACTTATTTATTTTACAGAAAGCATCTGTAAGTCCTATCGCCGTTAACTAAAGAAAAAAAAAAGGTGTATCTCGCGCTGATGAAGATAAACGATGAATAGGCATGTTTAAATTCAGGCTACAGATACAAAAAGTAACAATGGAGTGATTTGTATACTTTAAACCTTTAACCTTAGAAGAACTTAAAGCCTAAACCTCGCCATGAACAAAAAGACGCTACCGCAAAAGTCAGTATAAATTTAATTGAGAGCAAAAATTAATTAGTTTAGTTTCGAGTTAGCTTCATTTCCTGCAGGACTCGAGCAACAACACGCACACACACACACTCGTACACATTTAGACTACAGTGTGCCATAGCAAGTACCAAGAACCTACTCACCAATGCAGTTGCAGATAAGGAAGACAACCAACAGTTGCCATCGTACTGCCGCACATTGCTGTAGTGTTGTTGCTGTAATAACCAGATGTGCATTGAGTATTTGCCGCATGTGGCGGCCAGTGCTAGGGCCGAACGTGGCTAAGGATGGTGTATGCTTGAAAAGACAATACTTTGTTGTTTTTGTTTTGGTTGTTGTTGCTGATGTGGTTCTTGAACACAAACTTTGTGGTCTCTCCGGTGCTTCTGTTGAAGTCAGTGCTGCTGCTGCTGCTGCTGTTGTTGTTGTTGTTGTTGTGTTAAATGTTTGTGTTGCTGCCGGTGGGTTCACTCGGTTTGTCTGCGACAATTTGGCTGCTAATGCAACTGATGTGGGCGCCACCTGGCGAGTGACAAATGTGGTTTCAATTGCGGTTGCCATCATGTTGAGCCGTCTGACACTAATTTCATTGCATGGTCAATTCCTCTTGATTGTGTCGACCCAAATGCAATGAACGACGGCAATGGTGCAAGTTTGATTTCGCTAGAATTAGAGAGAAAAAGAAGATTGGAAGAAA